CATATGGTATTGTTTGGTTTTAGATATCTTTACCTAAAGCTCTATTTATGTTCATCCCAATTAGGAAAAAATAAAAAGGCGCTTAATCTTTTTGACAATGTAGGTCAATACGTGAATTGAACATAATTGAGACCCATCAGTTACCCTTTTTTTGGCTCTAGAAGACCCAGAATCTAACAACTGAAAGGAGAAGTTCTTGAGCTAAATATAGGTTCTTGAGAATTTTTAAATAAATAAAAGAAACATGAATTTAACCAAGAAAATAAGCATGCTTGTAAGAAGCAGAAGGTTTGGATGGAGATTTTGAAAACTGTAAACTAAGCTGAAATGATGCAGAGTGACTACTGACCTCGGGCAAATCATTTCATAATTATCTTCATTTTAAAGATGAGGAAATAAAGTTCCATAAAGTTAAGCTCATCTAAAGTCACAAGCTACTAAGCAGGAGTGCCAGGTTTGACTGCAAAGCTCTTGATCCTCCCTTAATGTCTGTGCCTCTTTCCTTGTAAATGGATGGTTAGTATTCTGGCTCATCAGTCAGTCTTTTCCAAACACATCAGTTGATTGTCAAACCTGGTCAAAACACTGTTGCTCAAATCAAAATTGTGAAAATCAGGCTTCATAATCCAGAAGGCTGAGTTCAGTGTTTTGGTCAGTGGGGTCCCAGACCAAGGTCAAGCAACATGCATGTAATTCTGTAAAACAGACTACAGCCTGCACCTTTTAATGTGCCCCCAATGACAAACAGCATGTCTCTTTTACCTTCTTTAGGCGGATAGAGACAATTCTAAATCACAAAATTAGAAGGAACCGTATCAGCCATCTGAGCCCAGGATTCAGATTCCAAACGACATCACATAATGAATATTCCAGACAGAAGAGACACACTATTTATAAAGAAGGCTGAAAGCCTGGGAAAATGTTCCAGGCTATTTGTTTCTTTAGATGAATAAGCATTTGTAAACAAAAGTAAAACCTTCCACAAACAAGGTTGCCTTTTCCCTGCATTGCTATTACTTATCTTTAACAATTATAAGATAAAATGAAATTGTAAAAAAGATATTCTCTTTCCCGTTGCTACAGCATAAATTTCAAAATCTTGCTCTGTGTGTATGTGTGTGGTTGCTCCTGAATTCAGCAAGAGCAAAGTTTGATAAAATTCTCACATGACCCTCCTTCCAGCTGGGACAACAATTGACATGCCAGAGTAAGCAGAAAGTTTGTTTTTAGGTAAAAGGAGCTGCCGTCTTATCAGTATTTCCTTGTCCCCCAAATAAATATGGTTTCTCCAAATAAGTATACTTTAAAGCATAGGTATTGCCTAGTACCCAAAATAACAAAAATGCTCAGGTCTGTAGTTTTTCTATTAATCTCCTCAAAATAGTGACACAGAATGCTCAGTCTTTGAAAGTGTGTGGTTAGAACCTTTGCTGAAAACACCATTAAAACAGAACTGATTTGAAATTCTGCTTCCTCTAACTACCAGTGCCAGCTAGCCCATTGTCTTCTACCACTGTGGCTATCAGAAGTGCAAAAGGGCACACATCCATTCAACAAGTATCTGCAGGGAAGGAAACCACCTCTCCTTGCTCAGATGTCAAACAAAATCAATAACCATTTGCTAAGGAAAGGAAAAGAGAGACAAGAACTGATCCCTTTCACCTCAAATTTCTCATTCCCTCCTTGTCTAGGCTGTACAGAAATCCATGGAACTGTTTTCCCCTTAATGATTTCTTTTGCCTTCTGCATCTCACCAATTGTGTTCTGAAGTCTTTTCAAGAATCAGAAAATATCTCTATAATTGCTCCAAATTCAATGAAAATGAATACCCATCTTATGTTTCTTTGTACAGATACACTTTGAGAGATATATCTGGGTATTGCAAGTGTAAGAGTCCCAGTGTCTAAAACAGAACCTGCTACTGTTGAGTTTACAAATGCTTATGGAATTTACAAATCTGATTATCATTGGTTCAAATCATATTTATTGGGTTTTCACATAGTAAAATGACAGCTGCATTCTATCAATACCAGCATTGCTTACACTGAAGTCATGTTTTCCCAAGTTCTTTCACTATTCCCTTGGGAAAGATGAAGTCTCTCTAATAGCAAGAATATGCAATTGAACAAACCAATTCAGTAAATATACAAGCAGAGAAACTGAGGTTGCCTTTGTGAAAAACAAAGGCTATCCCCACTGCCTTTTTCCAAGACAGGCACAAATCCTCATTCCACCTAGAAGCAGAAAAGAGCTGTTTGTGTTTGTACACACAGGAGAAAGGGTGGAGCGGGGTGGGGGGCTTGCTGGGTTCCCCAGAATCTTAGCAGGAGTATCAAGTCTGCTGCAACACAGACCCCTGAGGGACAGTAATAGGTAAGGGTGAATGGAATGGTTATTAGAACAAGAAAGGAAGTAAGCAACCTAATGATGATACCTTCATAATGAATTCTGAAACAAACCAATAACAAAAATGGGTGGAATGGTGGGACAGAAGAGGAGGTAGAAACAATGACCAAATTTTAGTTTCACTAGGTCTCATTGTGCTAATGACAAGGCTTTTACCTAATAAGTGCTCTGAGTTCCTGCATGCAGGGGATATTAGAACAGTATCTTATTACATTTATGAGTGTAAGGTATTCTTCCTCCTTTCTAGTCAATGCATTGTGCTCCAGAATCAAAAGGCTTGATGCTTCTCAATACACTCCATGCTGTCGATTTCAAATGGAAATTAAATACAGTATGAGAAAATTATACGACATTCTTACCTTTCTATGTAGATACCTATAAATACTAAGGTTTCCTTTTGGAATTTTTTGGGGGCTTCAAATAAATATTTGCCTAACATTTTTCTCTGATTGTTCAATCCCTCACTTGATAAAGAACTTAGAAGTTGTAATTTTAATTAAATTAATTTTAATTAAAAATTAAGATTATCTCTTTTAAAAAGCAATTACCAAACAAGTTCAGTGAAATTAGTACAGCAGAATATTTTTGATTTGGTTTTATCAAACAATGTTTACTTAGTTCTCATGCACACATCCATATAATTCACCTTTTAGAAATTCTCAATATGTCTTAGGGTTTTTTGTTTTTTGTTTTTTAAAGGCTGAAAAACAGTTCTGCCAAAAGGAAGCCTCTTTAATTTCCTTAAAACAAGTGTTTTCGAACGTGGGACCATTTTGCAAAGAAAGTCTCTTACAAACTACTCGATTTTCAAGATGGACTTCCAATAGGAATATTTGAAAGTATCCTAAAAGGGGTTGCTTTTAATGTTAAGCACATCTTGTTGAAAATCAGGTTTCTCAAATTAAGCATTACTGACATTTGGGCTGGATAATTGCAGGAGGCTGTCTAGTTTATTGCAGAATGTTCGCAGCATCCCTGGCCTGGCCCACAAGACACCAGCAGCACCTCTCCCCCAAAGTTGTGACAACCAAAAATGTCTCCAGATATTGCCAGTATCCCCTAGGGGGCAAAACTGCCCCCAGTGGAGAATCACTGCTCTAAGCCTATCAATAAGATCTATCCCTAAAGGGAGAGAAAGTTATTTCTCTTCTTCCACTTTGACTGACATCTCCGTTTCTCATTTTGCCTCCTCAAGCCATTTCACCACCTTTACTTTCTTCTTCTTCCTCGTCTTTTTTTTTCCTCTGTAATGACTTTACCTTAGCGCAACAAAGATTCCATTGCCTATTTTCTAAAGCTTACCAGGATTTAGGGAACAATCCTCCAGAAAAAAAGTGTCCAGTTAGGCTTCCACTTAAGGACTAGGAACCGGCCCAAGGGTACAATCCTTTGTGTTTCAAATGCAGGAGGTGGGGAGTAAAAGATTCTCTCATCTCACATTAAATTTAGCATTCTATAATGAAGCCTTTTCCTGCACACACTCATAAGATCTACCCGGACCTACTCTCTGCTTTTATATGACACCCTAATCAATTTGGCCAATTTTCCCTCTTCTGTGACCCCCAAACGAAAGAATACAGGCAGACATATCAGATGATGTTTTATTTGAACAGCATTCTGTGCAGAACAGAATTAATGGCTGAAATGATCATTTATTTTACCTTCACATGATTTATAAAAATGACTGAAAAAAACATAGCCATAAAAGCCAATAATGACAAAAGTATTTTTATTCAAATTTCCCACCTTACAGATGTCCAGAATAATCAACATATTTCAAAGGGTATATTTCAAAAACATACCCTAGCAACTCAGCCAGCCACTGTCACATGGAATAAGAGGACATGTCCTGGCCATTAGAACCGTGCTGTCCTCGCTCTTGTGTCCCTCCATGGGATAGACATCACCTTTTAAGACAACCGTGCCACTGTCTCCAACAGTTTTCCACAGAGTTCTTGTTTCTCTTCATCTGAATCTTCTCTGCGCAATTTGGTGTCCTGAACTATTTCTGATGGTTGCACACAAGATCTCAGGGACTGGATCTTTTAGTTATGAGACCAGCCCTCTGAGATAGCAGACAGTAGGTACAGTGCTTGCTCTCCCTTCTTTTCATCCTTCCAGAGTTGCCTTCATCTTCATTTCCTGCATCTGGTAAAGTCTCTCTGAAAATGTGAAACCGACGGCAGAACATGGCAAGCTGGATGGAGAAGCCGACAACCCCTCCCCCACTCTCACCCCCAACGCCGGGCCCGGCCCGGCAGGTCCTGTTTCGGATCCCGCACACTGTGGAAGCTTCTTGCTTCCCTGTTTTGGTGGGTGAAATCTTTGCTGTTCAAAAAGGCGTTTTTGCATAGAGATTTTAGGACGTGTTTATTCTAGTAACCTAGTGTTTTCTTTTTTCACTATATTTACATGTCGGGAACTCCAGGGAGGCCCCCGCCAGAGATTCCCTTAAATGCTGATCTCTGTTCCTGCTTCTCCGCCCCGCTGGCCTTTTGGAGGCATCGTGCTTCCCTGTCCGCGGGCAACAATCACAGCATCACCTGCAAGGGGCAGCAGAGTGAACCGCGGACCCCCGGAGTGACGCCTTGGAGATGAACCCTTTGGATTTGGGAACCCCTCTGACGGCCGGGACTCCCAGGATTCCCTTCCATAGAGGGAGTCCACGGTGGTCGCAGCCGGCGGCTGAGTCCTCCTTAGAGTGCCGAATCAGAGAAGACCCGCATCAGGTTTGGGATGTAAGGGGAGAGGGAGAGGTTAGAGAGAGGCATTATTGGATAAGCAAAGAATGCTACGCTGGGAAAAGGAGGCAGAAAAGACGTAGGGAAGCATGTTCCCCTTAATCCCTTCCCCGTGCCGCCCGTGGATCCCTGGATTTTCTTATCATGGAGACAGGCTGCAGCCACACACGCGACCCCGGGCCGGAAACATGCACACGCGCGCGCACACACGCACACACACGCCCCGCCGCGAGTTGCACGCTGCAGACTTCTGCCTGACTTCCTGGCCAAAAATACCGCACCTCTGGGGCCGGACCATGAATTCCTGTGGCCTAGAACTGACACCACTCCCCCTACCCCACCCTACTCCTGCAACACACACATTCAGACCCTACACTGCACCCTGAGCGTGCCAGGAACCACTTAAGGGAAGCCCGAGCAGCTCCCCCCTGTAAACGACTACCTTCCCCACTGCCTGATGTCTATTTAAATCTCCTACAAGCTCGCCTACAGCGAGCCGAGGTGCATCTAAGCCAGGTAGTAGACGGAGGAGGAGCCCGGGGTGAAAGTGAACCTCAGAGAATAGTACTAAATCACTATTCAAGGGGCGGCACGGGGAAGCCTCCAACCCTCTCCCGAACCTTTCAGGCCCTATCAGCAGCCCAGTTCCAACGCCCGATCCTGCACAGCTCCCTTCCTCTTCACCCGAATCCCTCAGCGATTTTCCAGCCGGCCCTTCCAGGCCACTTTCTACATCCATCCTCTCCCCAGCCAGTTCCCAACATGTGGCCTCGAGTACTCTAGCCGGAGACAGAGTCCAGGCTGACTCCATCATGATGTGCCCCCTAACCTTGTACTGACTGCCCAAATTATCCGAGTCCTCCGGAGCCCACTGTCCCTTTCACCGGCGTCCTTTGCTCTCGTTCAAATCCGCTTTCCACGCGCCCCACTTTACACCCATCCTCCTGCCGCTCTGGTCAAGGCACGTTTGCCCTCCACTCTGCGCCCCCAACACTGTACTCTCACGCTGCTCCCACCCTATCCCCCGGTGACACCCCCACTTTCCTTCTGCGGCTGTCCCCTGGCCGGGCTCCCGCGCCCCAAGTCCAGCCTCCCCGCCCGGTCCCCTCCCTCGCCGCACGGTCTTTCCTTCTTCCCAAGTCTGCCCTCTGAGCCCCCGCTGGAGCTAGTTCTGCCCTCCTGCTCTGCCCGTCGTACCCGCTCGAGCATCCCAATGGCCACCAGGTTTCAAAGTGGCTCGAACAGGCACCAGACACAGGGGACAGAGGCCAGCCGGCTCTCCCGGGCGCCAGCCGCGCCTCCCGCTATCCCTCCTGGACTCCCCCGGGCTCCAAGACCTCGCCCCACCACCCAGCAGCCTCACAAACTTACTTGCGGGTCGCCAGGAGGGGGCTGCGGTGAGCGGCGGCGGGCCCAGCGGCGGCGAGTGCGCCCCTCTCGGCGGGGCTGGGCGGCGCGGCGCCGGCGCTGCGCTCCTGCGGCCGCGAGGTGAATGGGCTCAGCCTGACGCAGCCCAGCTCTGCCCCCGCTGCCGCCGGCGCCGTCGAGCGCTTGCAGACATGCTCAGTTTCCGGACCTGCCCGCGTGGAAGCTACCAAGAGCCGGCAGCGGCGGGGGAGACCGATAGGAGCCGCGGGGCGCCGCGAGCCGGAGGCTACCACGCCGGGGGCGGGGGGAGCCACGCACCGCTAAAAATAGCTCCTGCGGAAGCCGCGAGGACTCAGCGCGCACCCCTCCGCGAGCGCGGCCCGTCTGACTCGGGTTCGGGCTTTTGCACTCGCTGCCGCGGCGGGGAGCGGAGCTCGGATCCCCACCCGGGTGGAGACGGCGCCTCTGGTGCTGGCGCCCACTAGAATAGCCTGGACTAAGCCAGAGCTGCCCCGATTTCGGGGTCCCGCCTATCGGGCAGCTCTAATACTAGGTTCTCCCTAGAGAAGCAGAGGAAAGTTTTGTTAAAGCGATAAAAAAGCTTCTGCGTTACAAGGAAATTTGTTCAGATTTACGGAGGAAAAAAATGTTTTTCAGATGCTTTGGTTGCTGGGAAAAACAAGGAGGAAAGGAAGGCGAAGTCCGACAGCCTAGAGAGGGACCCAAGGCCACTTGGAGCGGGCTGAAGGGGGCTCTGCAAAGAGCTTCTAAAATTCAGAATTCTTTGGGGCGTTTGTGACTTCTCATTCCGCAGTATTTTGCATAATTCGTTGACACCCAACCCTGACCTTGTAGATTTTCTTGTTCCTGTCACCTGAACTGTAATTTACTTTCTCCACAGGCTGCCTTCACTCCTTCCCCCTACAACCCGGTTTTAAATTGCAAAACGAAAAAGGCGCAAACTGGGTGGGTAGATTCCGAGACCTGAACTGGAACCTGGCTGGTCTGTAACCTTGAGGAAAGCAGTTGGTCCTGTTGCCGAATTCGGGATGTATCCCAGATCTCCTGTGCATCCAGCAAACACTTTCAGCGCAGGAGCCTTTCAGCCACCTCACCTGCAAATTAGCTATTTCCCGCTATTAGTGTTCACTATATTCTACCTTAATTTCTGATCATTTATTATTTTTAAAAATTCTGTCCTTTAAAGTGAGAGGTACAAATATTTCCTGGGTGAAATTTCAGTCTCGTTTCACTCACCTCTCACAACCACAAATGAGAGAATCATTATTATTCCCATTTGACAGACAGGGATGTTGAAATTTAACGACAGGTGCTTATCTCTTGCCTGGAGTAAAGAGTCGTGAACCTAGGGTCAGCCAGACTAGAAACTTTCATGGTTTCCGCATAACCTATTTCCCTGAATCAATAGCTTTACCTGAGATAAGGGCTCAAGAAAATCAGATACTAATTCTCAGTGGCATAGCGTGTCAACAATAAGCCGATTGATAAGCTGATTGCGGGTTTTGTTCCCCATTATTTTCCCCTAATTTCTTTACGAACATTCGCAGCTTAAATTTTCTGTTATGTTGAAAGTGATAACGTTTCATTTTTATTCAATCAGAAAGAATTTACTGAGAATCTTCGACAAGCAATGTACAGACTAGGTATGTATTTTAAATTTAGTTCAGACTCTGTGATAAAGCTACTTTGTTTTGGCAGTATTATAAATTAGTTAGACTTTGCTAACCCTACTAAATAATATACATGTGTTTTTTCATAGAACTGTAGTGGAATTTGTCTATTTGAGTCAAGATGCCCTCTCTCCTAAGATATCTGTGCCCTTCCATCCCCACTTGCAATTTAGTGCCATGTGCACCCCAAAATAAGTAATCAATTAAGGTTTGATCTTTTACTTTTTTACTGAAGCTGCAAATGTCATCTGCAGGACCAGGGCCACTTTATAGTGACAACATCACGTTTCTCATTTTCCATAGGTGATTCATTGGGAGATCAAAATGTGAATTTCCTTAGAGTATCAACACAACTCATTCCTTTCTATCAGTGGTGAAAGAAGGTGAAAAATAAACTTTATTTTCATCCTGGTTGCTTTCATTCTTCCTCCTCCAGTAATTATTCTTAAGGTGATATGATGCTCTGAGCATCTTCATGCTACAGCATGCACACTACCCATACTCATGAAACAGGGAAGATCTTGATTTCAAAGTCTCTTTGGTGTCCTATGGAAAAGTGTAGCTCAAAAATGTACTGTGTTCAGTACTCTCAGTAACAAGTGACAGGAACGCAATTCTAACTTAGCCAGAGAAAATGCATTGGCCCATATAACTCAGAAGTCAAGAAATAGCAGGGCTTGTTCTGGGCTTAACAACATCAGAAAGAATATGATTTTCTCTTTCTCTAACTTGCTTTCAGCATTGCTTCCTGTGCTGGTTTAATTCCCCTCATATTATGTCCATAGTGCCAGCTCTACACAGTTGACAAATTACTTTGTAACCTTACAAAGAAATCGAGTCTCTTGTTCTGTAGAACAGATCAGTCTTTGAAGGTGTACTCTTATTGGCTGTCCTGGCTCACACAATCAAACACCTGCATCCTCTTGGGGATGAAAGATTCTCAAAAGGGAAAAAAAGTATTTGGTTAGCAAAAGAAGGAATAGGGGATGTTTGCAAGATAGAAATAATGGATATCCAGTAAACTCATAGACTGGCCTGTTTCCCCATGGACAAAAAAGGACAGCAAGTGTGTTGGGAGGTCTGTTGGTTTCAGTTATTCAGAAACGAGCAAGATAATAGTAATGCTTTGAAGTGAACTTTTCCCATCTCTTTTTAGCCTCAGTTGCTTTGATTTGCCTGCCTAAGGGTAACAGAGAGTCCCCTCTTTGTTGCCTTTTCATCTTTATTTCAGGGCCCTGGTTATTTCCAAGGTGGTGCCACTCATGCAAGATGGCTAATGAGCCACCCAGCCAACTGAGTCTTTCAGTCCCCAATCTGTCTCTGCAGGAAAAGAATATTTTCCATATTATTAAAGCCCATTTTTTTCTGTTTTCATTTAATGTACTTGATCATTATGTAAACCATTTGCTAATAAAAAGTGGGGATTTTCCATTATGCCTCAAAACATGAACAGATAGGGGGAAACGCTGCTGTCCTTATAGTTTTGTATTATTTCTTATGCTAGAATTATTTAAATAATTGTCTGTCTTTTCTTTTCTCTCTACTTATGTAATTTGTTTGTTACCTCCTTTAATATTTGTTATTCTAGGAATAAATCAATGCAATCCATGAGTCACCTAATTTAAACTGCATTCTATAGTTATATTAAACTTATCAAATCCCCAGGGTCTTTTCCTTGACCTTCTTCTCATGACTTTGTACATTGTCTTCTAGGAACTCCTCCCTTAGCTCTGTTACACCACAGCACACATCTTTTTGTTTTTTCTGTCTCTGAAACGGACTTTCACTCTGTTGCCCAGGCTGAAGTGCAGTGGCACTATCTCGGCTCATTGCAACCTCTGCCTCCAGGATTCCAGTGATTCTCCTGTCTCAGCCTCCCACAGACCACATCTTAACCTACACCTCGGATTATTCCTCTTCTCCTAGTTCTCTTGTATCTCATCTCTGTAGCTCTTTGTCCCTCTCTACACCACTCTGCCTTTTGTTTTAGTTATCTACATACTTGCCTCTCCTCCCCCACTAAACAGCAAGTTTCTGGAGGACTGGGACAATGGCAAATTTATATTTGTGTGTATTTTATCTTCATGGATGCTCAAATAGGTGCTTGCTGATGCATTGAGGGATTATAGGAACAGGAGGTGAATACTTAAGTCTGAAACAGGGGGATGCATGAGTTGGGCACTAAGTCATCTGCTTTTAGGGAGTCAAGGAAAGATGGAGAGGGCTGATGCTGGAGGTAGGCTGACATGCAATATACACTACTTCTTTCACCATTTTGTGTAGGGATACTTCTGTATAGTCCCTTCTTTTTTCCTTTACTTTCTCTTACTTTGAATTCCTTCACTAAGATCTATACTACACTGCCAAGCATCTGGTATACTTCCAGGTATTGGCACTGCCCACTGAGCATATTCTCCTTGCATTGCACAGAGACAAACCATTTTAGAGACTTGGACACTAGCCTGTCTTTCTATTGTACCTCTTTCATACCAAATTTGCTTTTAGAAAATCAGAACCAAGGTAGAAATGTGAAACAATCTATAAATGAGTTTTTTAAGAGAAAAGGAAATATCAAGACAGCTTCATTAAAGAGTTATTAAAAGTTTGTCTTCTTGATAGCTATATTCCCATTATTAAAAAAATTAAATTTGGAGAACTAAATAGGAGTAGTTCAAAGTCACTTATGCCCAAATTATTTTTTCATTTCATGACTATAGATAAATGTCACAACAGATACATTAATGATATGTACTAAAGATATAAATGCACACTTCTCCCCTCTCTCTGCACTTTAAGGCTAAAACAATTCTAGGTAATAGTCATGGGACGTTAAGGATAACATAATATTTGTGAATCAAAGATGCTTCTTGACTAAAAGACTTAGCTCTGATGGCCCTTTCCTCAGGAAAGAAGAATGTGGATAATTATGTACTTCAAATATCAGACCACTTTTTTCTTGCCTCTGAATCTAACGCAAACATGGCTTAGTTCTTGCAGAAGCAGCAAGATCCTGATAAAGCTACAACTCGTTTCACTTCTCTTTGAATCCAATGCTACAATAACAGGTATGTTTAAGGTGCAATCTCAAATTCTCAAATATAACTAAGAAATCTGTGACCATTAGCTTATTTCCACAATATTTATAATGTAATGAATTCAAAATACTACTGTGCATCAATTAATGTTAATAATAATATTCAACATCTATTGGTACTGCTATGTGTCTCTTTCTGTGGTAGGCACTCCCTTCACGTACTACTTATTTAATTCTCATAGCAATCCAATGAGGTATATAGTATTGTAGCCTATTTTTGGTTGGACATATAGAAATTCAACCTAAACTGGCGTAGGCGAAAAGGGAAATTTTCTGGCACAAGAGTAGTGTGGAATATAATCTCCAGAAGACAGGGAGCTCCTCTGAGCCTCAGGAGGTGGAAATGCCATCACAATTCTGTCCGTATCTCATTAACTGGTTTATTTTTCCACCTTGCAGACAGGCTTTTTTTTCACAGCCTGTATAGTCCTTGGATCCCTTCATTAAATAAGGACAGAATCTATTCATTTTGCTTTGGTTTAGAAGTTTCCAAAGAACTCGGTGGCTTTCTTCCAAAGAATATAGAAAAGGAAGAATAGCAACTTTAGAGTGGAGAATGCTGGCTGAAACCTTCTTAACCAGTGATGTCATGTGACTATCATTTACTGTCTAATATGATGTAATGACAAAGGCTCCTCATGTCTGTGGATTTCTTTCCAAAAACCTGCAACTCCAGTTGAATCATGAGAAAATATCAGATAAACCCAAATCGAAAGACAATCTACAAAATACCTGACCGGTACTCCTTAAAACTGGCAAAGTCATAAAAAACAAAAATGAAGAAACTATTGTATACCAAAAGAGACCAAAAAGACACAACAGCTAAATCCACTGTGGTATCTTGAGTTGTATCCTGGAACAGAAAGAGGGTATTAACGAAAACAATCGGTGAAATATGGAGTTCAATTAATAGTAATGTAACAATGTTAATGTTAATAGTAATCAACCAATGTTAATGCTTTGACAAATGTAAGATGTTAACCATGGGGCAAATTGGGTGAAGGATTACAGAAACTCTGTGTATTATTATTACAACTTTTCTAAAAACATAAAATTATTCTAAAATTTTAAAATGTATATTTTAAAAATACAGAGGAAAAGAAATCCCTGGAAAAACATGATCCAAGAAGCTTGGGTTAGGTGCCCATCCAAGACAGATTTACTGAATAGCAGGCAAGTGCATCCAGCAGAAAAATGTCCCCTGGGGTCCCGACATGGTATTCCATCCATTCCCAGGGAAGGAGAGTGGGCAAGAGGGATGGAAAAATATAGTTATGAAGCAGGCAGGACTGCAGCTGGTGAGTAATGTAGATGAAAAAGCTGAAGGTCAAAGAACTAAGTACTGTATTTCATCAATCTAAGATAAAATAATCCACGTTAACCTTCATAAAATTGGGATGTATCTTTTCTTTTTTGGTGATTTGTCAACAATGTTGTAGATTTAACAAAATATGGGTAATTTTCTTAAACACAGTAAAGTATAAGACCCAGGATTCCAACACAGGTTCTTAGTTTAACTGTCATTCTTTTCAAACTTTCCTCGATATTGACCACACTGTCATAGAAAACAAATGTTGATTATGTAGACAAAACCGCAAGAACAAAAGTAGAGTTGAAACCATGACAAATTTGATCTAAGAATTTATTAATCTGATAAAGTTATCAAGACACTATACACATCTAGAGACACCAATTTAGATAGAACTCTGTGAAATTAGGATACTTGAGGACCAAGATGTAGGTTTAATATACAAGATAAGTTATAACACTCCATTTTAGAAATTTTAAGTTGACATTTCAGTTCTAGTAGCTAGAAAGAAGCTAGATATATTTTTAAAATAACTTTTCTTAGCCCTATACCTCATTAGTTTAATAAGATACTTATGAAACCAGGTAACATGGCATTTGTGTTTCATTCCTTTAGTACATAATAACGTACTATTAAGAAAACAACTGAAGACAATGAGGCAGAACCTCTACCAATTCCACTTTTTAATTCATTATCATTTATTGTACACCTGTTATTAGCCATATACCCTAGTGATATGTATTTTTTAAAAAGTAGATAAACTTGGTTCCTGCTTTCATGAAACATGGGTTTCAGCATAAAAGAAAGAGGTTTCAGAGTATAATTACAAGTGAGGTAAGAATTTTAAAACTGTAGAAGTTTTGGGAGCATATAGCCAGGGAATTTAATGTAGTCCAGAAGGACAGAAATGGCCTAAGGAAGTGATACTTAAGCTGATACTTTTAATAAAATAAGTACGGACATTTATTGAGCACTTGCTTTGTGCCAGGCACTAACTTCAGTGCTTTACCCAACGTGACAGATACAGTCCAGATGGCTAGCTCATCATATATTCAGACCTCTTTCTAGAGGTTTTATTGTAGGCATAAGTTGAATGGCTAAAAGTCCACCTTTCTCAAACATCCTTGTAGCTGGAGCCCCAGGTATAATTTACTAGATTCTACCAGTTTGAAGTTTTTGGCTAGCATACTATCTCAAAACTCTGCTGACATTTACATGTCTGCAGAAACACTTTTGTCTGATTGCTTTACCTATAGCTACCTCATTTGAGGTAGTTGCCTTGAAAGATTGTGTGTATTTTCCATTCATTCACTTCCACCAATTTTCTTGGCCTCTAAGCCTATAGCATGGATAAAATTTCAGCAGCCCAAGGAGGTTGGGGAGCAGGGGGAAGTTACAAAGTCAACCCAAAGGAAATTCTGCATGCTTACAGAATAGCAATATTTATCTGTTTTTAAATTTTATTTGCATGAAGCAGGAGATTATGTGTTTGTGAATGGATTCGAGTTTGCTAAACCAAGGAAGAAAGAGGAACATAATTTATTAATGTGGGGTCACTCATCAGAGAGTCTGTCTTTAAGGTGCTAGCAGTTGGAAAAGGTTCTAACAATTTGTCCACTTGGTTAACTTAATCCTGGTCTTAATGTAAATGTAAAATACACAGTGAACTGTGATAAATGAAGATGTTAAAAATTCCTAGCCGTGATATAACAGGGATCTAAGAAGGTATGGAGATGGGGATGTTGGAGTGACATTATCCAGGATGATTGGCTCGACAACTCCCTGTTGGTCTCTGGGAAGGCCCAGAAGACCCTGCTTTCACCAAAACACCAAGTGCTGCGTTGACTTCCCTCTTTTGCTGAGAATAAAGGTGGGAGATACTGATATTAAAGTGGTTTCTAGGATTTGATGTAAATGAAAGACTACTAGGGTGGAAGAGGCCAGGGAGCAGTTTACCCACCAGAATCAAGGTGGATGTGATTACCATGATATCATTATAGATTATCATTATATCATTATCAATCTATTTATTTTATTTATTTGATAAGGCTCTAATCAGAAAAGTGTGACTCACCTATAAAATACCATAGGGTCCTTAGGTCCTTAGGATGGAAAAACCTGAGTGTTACTCTCAGGTCCTGCTTAATCTATATAACTGAGATAGCTTTAGTTTTAGTGAATATACACCTGACTTCAACCATCAAAACAGAGAATCATGACTCTTCATCTAGATTCCAGACCTGGATTAAAATGGTGAAGAGGAGGCAGGACTCGCTTGCAGCTCCCGCTCAAGTGGACAGGGCAGCATGTGGATTCTCACATTGTGAACTTTTGCTCCAAGTACTACCCCAGGAACATAGCAGGGAAGCTGAGAGAATCCACAGGCACTTTGAAGGAACTGGATCACTGCTGCAGGCTCCCCGAGATGCTGAAAAACTATGACTCTGCTTGCATTATCAATGGGGAGACTCATGGTCTGGGGCAAGTTCTAAGCCCTGGTCCCTGGCTGCCTGGAAATACACTTGGTGCTGTTGCCGCAGGGGGTACGGTGGGAGTGAGACTGGCCTTTAGGACTACCAGCTCCGTGGGAGTGGGGTGAGGCCTATGACTGCCAACTTTCCCACACTTCCCTGGTGACTTTTATGACTCAACAGAGGCAGCCATAATCCCCCCAGGAATATAACTCCATTGGGCTGGGAACCATATCACCATCCCCCACAGCAGCTGCAACAAGCCCCACCCAAGGAAAAGCTGAGCTCAGACATGCTTATCCCCATCCCCACCTGGTGGTATTTCTCTACTCACCCTGGTAGCCAAAGACAAAAGTTATAATCCTTTGGGAGCTCTATGGCCCCGCCCACCACCTGAGAAACCTGAATACTTAACCAGGTTTTCCTAGGGCAAGTTTGCATCCTTCCTATAGGACTGCAGTTGATGGTGTCTGGAAAGTGCCACCTCCTGCCTGGAAGCCAACCAACACAAAACCTGTGCTCCAAATAAAAGCAAAAAAGGACCCTCGCAGAGTCCACTGCTCTCCCCTGCTACCTCCACCAGAGCACATGCTGGTATCCACAGCTGCAAGACTTGAAGATAGATCACATCACAGAACTCTTTGCAGACACTCCCCAGTACCAGCCTGGAGCCTGGTAGCTCCACTGGGTGGCTAGACCCAGAAGAGCAAAACCAAACACTATAATTTGGCTCCCAGGAAGCCAATTAAAAACCAAACCCAACCCAATTATAAAACACAGCAAGGGAGCACTCCATGGGACAAAAGAATGTGAACAGCAGCCATTGAATCCCAGATCTCCCCCCATCATAGTCTACCCAAATGAGAAGAAACCAGAAAAGCAATTCTGGTAATATGAGAAAACAAGGTTCTTTAACACCTCTCAAAGACCATACCAGCTCTCCAACAATGGATCCAAACCAAGATGAAATCTGAATTGCCAGATAAAAAATTCAAGGTCAACTAATAAGCTAATCAAGTAGGCACAAGAGAAGGTGAAGTCCAACTTAAATAAATTAAAAACATGATACAAGATATGAAAGGAAAACTCTTCAGTGAAATAGTATAAATAAAAAACAATCACAACTTCTGGAAGTTGAGGACAAACACACTTATAGAAATGCAAAATACACTGGAAAGTCAGGAATAGATTCAAACAAGCAGAAGAAAGAACTTCAGAGCTTGAAGACAAGGCTTTCAAATTAACCTAATCCATTAAAGACAAGAAAAAAAAATTTTTTTAATGAACAAAGCCTCCAAGAAGTCTGGGACTATGTTAAACATTCAAACCTAAGAATTATTGGTGTTCCTTGGGAAGAAGAGAAATCTAAAGTTTGGAAAACATATCTGAGGGAATAATCGAGGAAAACCTCCCTGAGCTGGCTACAGATCTAGACATGCAAATACAAGAAGCTTAAAGAACACCTGAGAAAATCATCACAAAAAGGTCATTGCCTAGGCACATAGTCATCAGGCTACCCAAAGTCAAGATGAAAGAGTCTTAAGAGTTGTGAGCAGAAGCATCAGGTAAATTATAAAGGAAAATCTATCAGATTAACAGCAGATTTCTCAGTGAAACATTACAAGATAAAAGGGATTGGGGTCCTATTTTTAGCCTCTGTAAACAATTTTCAGCCAAGAATTTTGTATGCAGCAAAACTGAGCTTCATTAATGGAGGAAAGATACAGCCTTTGCTAGACAAACAAATGCTGAGAGATTTTGCCACTACCAAGCCAGCACTACAAAAACTGCTAAAAGGGCTCTAAATCTTGAAACAAATCTTCAAATACACCAAAATAGAACCTCCTTAAAGCATAACTCTCATAGAACCTATATAACAATAACACAATGAAAAGAAAAAAAAAAACAGTTATTCAAGCAACAAATAGCACAGTGACTAGAATAGTACCTCATATCTCAATACTAACATTTAATGTAAATGGTCTAAATGCTCCACTTAAAAGATATGGAAGGCAGAATTCACCAGCCAAGTTTCTGCTGTCTTCAGGAGACTCATCTAACACATAAGGACTCACAAAAACTTAAGGTAAAGGGGTGGAAAAAGATATTCCATGCAAATGGACACCAAGAGTGAGCAGGATTAGCTATTCTTATATCAGACAAAGCAAACTTTAAAGGAACAGCAGTTAAGAAAGACAAAGAAGGACATTATATAATGATAAAAGGACTAGTCCAGCAGGAAAATATCAGAATCCTAAATATAGATGCACCTAACACTAGAGATACCAAATTTATAAAGCAGTTACTAATTGTTTTATATCTCAGACATGAAATAGATGGCAACACAATAATAGTGAGGGATTTTAATACTCCACTGACAGCACTAGATGGGTCATCAAGACAGAAAGTCAACAAAGAAATAATGGACTTAAACTATATCCTACAACAAATGGACTTAACAGTTATTTACCAAACATTCTACCCAACAACTGCAGAATATACATTAGTTTCATTAGCATATAAAACATTCGCCAAGATAGGCCACATGATATGCTACAAAACAAGTCTCAGTAAATTTAAGAAAATTATAATTATATCAAATACTCTCTCAGATGACAGTGCAATAAAATTGGAAATCAACTCCAAAAGGAACCCTAAAAATCATGCAAATACATAGAAATTAAATAACCTGCTCCTTAATGATCATTGAGTCAACAATGAAATCAAGATAAAAATTAAAAAGTTCTTTGAACTGAACAATAATAGTGACACAACCTATCAAAACCTCTAGGATACAGCAAAAACAGTGCTAAGAGGAAAGTTCATAGCATTAAATGCTTACATCAAAAAAGTCTGAAAGAGCACAAATAGAAAATCTAAGGTTACACCTCACGGAACTG